ATCAGGAAAGGGAGGGGGGTTGTTACTACTTTAAACAACATGTGTATTTTTTATTCTCAGGAAGCGACCGAAGATTCCTCCTTTATTCACTTTTATTTGATGTATTAATGATTTTATAACCATCTTTCCTGTTTTCATTTTCTGTTGTTACTTCCTGTCTGTCGTTCTTTTGAGAAGCACTTTGCATTTTTTAGGTTCTGCATGAATAAAGTTGAGTTATGTTGATAACACACACAGAAGAACTCTGAGGATATCTAGTGGAGAAAGGAGGAATGACAGGGCCTTTCTCAAACCACTCCCTACACACTTCTCTGTTTGCACTCATACTGTAGTCTGTGTGCGCTGGACCACCGGATTCACTGTGCGTTTCCTTTTCCCACTTCCTATCCGGCTTGATCTTTTCTGCCTGGGTGCCTGCAGCGTGCTCCGTCAAAAATAGATTCACACGTATTTGAAACGGAGACTGGAGTTTAGTGTTTTAGTCGAGACATCACTACCTGAGACCAGAGTGCAACGAGACCGAGACATTTAGGGATCGAGATCGAGACCATAAACATCAAAACAAAATCATCATCATGAGAGCAGGGGGCGTGTCACTCCAAACGCACTTTTGGAGTGGTTACACAACCTGTTTACACACCTTTATGTCTGTGCATTCATGTCATTGTGTGATATATGTGAGCACACCAAGACAAATTCCTATCAACTGTATAGTTGAAATGGCTATAATAAACCGGGAAGGTTGCGGCCGATAAAAATCAAACTACAAATGAACTGAAGTTCAGTGATCAGTGGTGGTCTTGATTTAGAATTCAGAGTCCGCCCAGTCTGAGGCCGAAACAAGACCGAGTAAAAATGCTGTCGATCCGAGACCTTCAAAAAGTGGTACAGAGACCGGTTCTTTTGACCAAGACCCATTTTGAGTAATACAAATAGAAAGCAGGTAGTTCTCTGTCAAATCATCAACAGTACAATCTGGACGACTGAAGAAAAAAATCAGAGACACGGAGACGATTTAAACTTTTATCTATATTCTCATTTTGATCATGTGAAACATAATCAAGGACAAACATGGAAAAATCTCTCTGAGCAGATTCAAACTGCTCGGAGGGAGCAAAGAGAGAGAGAGAGAGAGAGAGAGAAGTGGACGACAGGATGCAGGAAAGAGAAATTCACACCCAACGAAAGAAAAGAAAACGTTCAAAATAAAAATAAGCGCTTCAGGTCGGGGAATACATTCGTCTGGGCTGAAAACGCCACAAAGGTAAGCGTCTACACGGAGCCGGGACACCTGGAGCACAAACAACCCAAGAGCTGGATCAGCTGATGAGGCACCTGCACGGGTGTGGGGGAGGGGGGAAACAAGTCAAGAGGAGGGGTCTGAGGTATTTCAACTACGCAGGGAGGAACAGGACACACTGTAATGCCCATGCATCGCCCGGACAGGTCGGGCACGCCGTTTTGGAAATATTTATGAATATATATTTAATATACTGCTTATATTTATGCAACCCTTTCTTAAAATACACAGGAAATATCTAAGTAGGAAAACAGACTGTACAAAACCAAGAAGAATATCTCTGTATAAACATTAAAACCTTTCATGTATCAATATATCCTTTATATACGCTTTTGGTCGGTAATAAAGAGGACGACAACGCTCGCCCAACGCACCGTTTCAAATATACATTCATGTCTCAGGCGGCCACCGGGGGGCGCAACTGTCGCTGAGCTACACTTAGGAAAATACGACAAGAGAGGAAACAGCAAAGTACAGTCCATGCCGTGAAGTCGAGAAGAAGCATCTATTGCACTGAGAGGGACGAGTCTGGAGGTCGTTCAAATAAAGAAACCCTGTTCAGGTTAATTTAAAGGTAAAAGTAGTTTCACTCTCTGAGATTATAAAACATGTTTTTAAAGCTGACAGTGTTTTTCTTCTTGTTAGAGTATTTAAAAAAAATCATTACACTTTTTAAAGAATGTTATCGATTGTTCAAACAAAATAACATCCTTCGACAAACTTGGAGATAAAATAAAAACACTTTCCAACTGAGACCAAGACCTGAACTGGATCAACGGCTTTAAAGGAAGAATGTGTGACATGTTCCACATCAATAAATCTTAGAGTCTGTCCTGTGTAAACGTGTCTCTGAGTCCTGACTGTCTACAATGAGGGAGAAGCTCGAGTCCCGCTGGCTGTGTTGTTGTCAGAGCCGTGTTTACATGGACGGGACGGCCGGCTCCTCCCCTTGTGTATAAAAGCTGTTTTAGTCAAGAACTAGAGAGAAGAAGAAGAACATACTCACTGATTATTTGGATGTTAGTAAGAGTTTTTAGATCACGCTCATTCTGTGTCAGTTTACATGAAATGTGAAGCTACGAGCTAACTAAAGAGCGCTAACATTAGCATGCTAACACAACAATGTGAAGCTACGAGCTCACTAAAGAGCGCTAACATTAGCATGCTAACACAACAATGCAGTTTGTCGGCCGATTGTGCTTGACTCCTTCGCTTTGTGTGAAAGCGAAGTTTGTTTTGGTTTCATGCTGGAGCTCAAGGGCGACCTCTACTGGATCAAAAAGTCACACATTCTTCCTTTAATTAACTTTCACTTTAAGCCTGCAGGGACGCAGTGTATGGGAATAAAGTATTAAACAAATTAACACTTTGTCATCAACAAAACACACAAAGTGCTCGAGAAACTGATTTTCCACACAGACTGAGGATGTGACGTTCAGGAAAGTTGGGACAAATGAAAACTGGAGGGGAAAAAAAATCACACAAAAAGAAGGATGCATAAGCTGTGATGTCACATGACAGGTTTGGTAATCAAGCAAAGTAATCAAGCAAAGACTTTACACTAAACAGTTTAAAAACAAAGAGTCTGACGTGATGAACAGGCAGGAACAGAGAGAACGGAGGACGAACATGGAGGTCCAAATGCTGAAGATATCGAACTGAAGGGAAACGTGAGACTGACCTCACGTCCGACTCCAAAAAAAAAGAAGAATATTAATCGCTGGTTTATCGTCAGATCATCACACCTGTAGAGACGATGAAGCTTCTTGCAGGGCGTGTGAGAACATGTAAACTGTCCATGAGCCTGCAAAGAGCCCCTTGACCACCAAGGGACGCCAAAGACCAACTCTCTTTGGTTTTCCTTTTCTTAAACACAGAACCTGTCAGGATTTAGAAACACACTCCCTGATGTTTTCGTTTTTAAAAAATCACTATAGGAAAAACTTTTTGAGGCTTCTCGGGCACATTTTTTTGGGAGTATCAAAAGAACAAATTTCAGCGTTTCTATAAAATCAATTTGGCATTTTTGGGGCTCTGTATGAAAACCAGTGAGTGGATCTTAAAGTAAAGATGTCCTGTGTTACGTTTCTTCTTCTTTCTCCATAAATATCTGTAAAAACACCGCTTCTGAAAAGGCGTGAAGTAGAACAGATCTCCAGTGACCAACAGGTGAGAACATTCATGTAAAGTCATCAGGAGAAAGGCAGGTATGTACAGAGACAGGTGCATTGTGGGAGCACACCTGGATGAGAGGAGGGGGCGGAGTCGGTAGGTTTAAAGTGTCTTTTTCCAAAAACTGAGAGAATTCACAGGGCCGGAGAGACGTCCTACCAGCTGTGTGTGTGTGTGTGTGTGTGTGTGTGTGTGTGTGTGTGTGTGTGTGTGTGTGTGTGTGTGTGTGTGTGTGTGTGTGTGTGTGTGTAGAATAATCCTGAGTAATGGGCTCAGCTCACGGCAGGAGGTTTTTGTTGATTATACTCCAACAAGAACCAAATAGGAGGATATTAATCGGCTGCAGAAACTGAAAAATTAAACATGAGTCTGTGTTGTTTTTAAATCGTGTAATAAAAGATAAAAGTTTTGGGATTTTCTGCATTTAATTTCAAAATCAACAAACCTCATGAAATCAGCTGTACAGTATCTTCTGAGAGCGTCACAGACTCGGACATTGTCGGTCGATTTGAAGGTTTGAAACTCTCCTTAAACTGATTTTTTCATGACTAACATAAAAACATTTCCTCGTCAGTGCCGCCTTCCTCGATTATCTACCCAAGCCACAGGAATGAAAGCAGAAATCACTGGCGGGTTGTCAGGACTCTCACTTTTTTGTGTTTTCAGATGTACTGCAGCATATTTTCGTATTTTTTAATTTTGTATTTTAGCAACCGCAAATAAACTCCATGTGATCTGCAGAGTCCCTCTGCACCTTTAAGAAAAAGCTAAAGAGCCAGCTCTTTCATGAATACCTACTAACTTAATGATGATGGTCTCCATATTATTGATGATGATGATGGTAATGACGATGATTTTTGTTTGATAACGATGACTTATAAGATGGTTTCTATACTGATTAGAGCTTTCAAGAACTGCCCTCAATGTTGTGCTTTGCCTCTGGTCACTTCCTGTCAGCACCTGTGTGTCCAATCAGACTCAAAGCTGATCGTTTGCTCTTACTCACATTGTTCCCTTTTTTCTAGATCCTTGCTTGTGTTGTTCTTACTCTCTGATGTACGTCGCTTTGGAGAAAAGAGTCTGATAAGTGAATTGTAGAATATCTAAAACGATCGTAAACTGGAACTGAACTGAATCTTCTGTTTGACACTTTAAAGAATTAAACGTCTGCTTTTCAGTCAGGAAAAACTGAGAGTAAAATGTGGTTCATCAGACTTAAATCTACATTTTTGGTAAACATGTTAAAGTGGAGTTATGCAGGATTGATGTGAATCAAATCAGCAGTAAAAAAAACAACCTTCCACTGCTTATGACAGTTCTCCAAAGTACCACTAGGGGAGCTAGAAACCCTACAGAACAGCAACAGATGTGGATTCATCCACCGCTGAAAGTAGTCCCCTCTAAACTTCTTGCTCTTTTTTGTTTTGTTTTGTTGACAAGAAAAATACAGAAGAACTCCTGAATGATGTGATAATGGAATAAATGAACGGTTTGGTCCAGTAAAAATAAGAGTATTTCTGCATCTTTACTCTTAGCCTGCCGTGAGAGGAGCCATGTGAGAGGAGAGAGTGTGTGTGTGTGTGTGTGTGTGTGTGTGTGTGTGTGTGTGTGTGTGTGTGGAGGATTTAAGTGTGTGTGTGTCCTCACAGCGGTCCGTGCCGTGCCTCGTACTTGGCCAGGATGTTCTTGCTGCGTCCGAGCTCTTTCCTCAGCTCGGCCACCTCTTGCCTCATAGCCGAGTTCTCCTTCTCCAGGAAGCCGGCTCGGATGGCGATCTGGTTCTCTTTGAGCCGCCGCGCGTCCCGAGAACGCTTTGCGGCCACGTTGTTCTTCCTGCGCCTGGCCCAGTATTTGTCATCCTGCTCAAAGGACACAAGAGAGGAGAGAGGGGACGTGAAAAACGGAGGAAATACTTCAAAGACAGACAAAGATAACGGAGAGAAAATTATTTTTCACAAAAATCCAGACAAACAGAAACTTGAGCAATCGATGATTGATCTAAATAACACAGATTCGTCAGATCGTTTTAAAAAAGACAGGGGAGTCCGAACCAGCTCCAACTTACCTTCAGGTCCTCGGGGATGAACACTTTGCGAGCTTTCTTGATCATCGGTTGTGGTTTCAGCTCCTCGTCAGAGAACTTGTGTTTTCGCGGATCGAACATCTCCTGACCCGGCACGCTGGACAGAGCCAGGTCGGCGGGGTCGGGCTCGTACCCGACGGGGACGTGGATGGAGTCTGGGTCGATGGGGCTGGGAGTGTTTCTGGAGCTTGGGAGGCCTGAGAGGATGAAGAGGGGAAGAGTTAGTGTCACATAACTTCTCCATGAATAGAAAAAGTTTGATCAAAGTTAAAACTTTTTAAAACGCTCTCTATAAGATAACATTTAAATCTGTAGTTTGACTCAGTGAAGTTTTGTTGAAGCTGGAGCAAGACAAAGTTGAAGAAAATCTAAAATGTCAATGTTATCTTCCTGATATTTAAGGAGCAGTATGTAACTCTGACCCCTAGTGTTTTAAATGGGTACTGTAGTCTAAATTCAAAACATTGTAGAGAGCTGTTTCCCCCTCCCCCCTCCTCTCTTGAGTCGATGTCAGAGAAGCCAGCACTTCAACATAGCATGTTTCCTTAATGATCAGAGAGTAAGATACCTTTATCATCTCACTCTTTACACAGCTCACTGATTGGACCTTTAAAACAAAAGTATTTACATGTTTAACGTCTGATTCTTAAACCTCTATTTAGGCAGAGTTCCTGAGGCTGCAGTGACAAGCTGCAGCCACCAGAGGGCAGCAGACCTACAGTGTTACCCAAAGCACCACCATCAAACTGTGTGTGTGTGTGTGTGTGTGTGTGTGTGTGTGTGTGTGTGTGTGTGTGACAGTGAGGAGTGTGAGACAATCAGGAAGAATTTAAACACAAATAAAAGCTGTTTTCTGTTTGACGTTTAAATGACGGTGTTCAGGACTGACTGTGAACAGGTTCTGTGTCCTCTGAGGTGTGATGAGTCAATATACGATGAGTCGATATACGATGAGTCGATATACGATGAGTCGATATACGATGAGTCGATATACGATGAGTCAATATACGATGAGTCCATATACGATGAGTCGATATACGATGAGTCGATATACGATGAGTCAATATACGATGAGTCCATATACGATGAGTCAATATACAATGAGTGAATATACGATGAGTCAATATACGATGAGTCAATATACGATGAGTCGATATACGATGAGTCGATATACGATGAGTCAATATACGATGAGTCCATATACGATGAGTCAATATACGATGAGTGAATATACGATGAGTCAATATACGATGAGTCAATATACGATGAGTCGATATACGATGAGTCGATATACGATGAGTCAATATACGATGAGTCCATATACGATGAGTCAATATACGATGAGTGAATATACGATGAGTCAATATACGATGAGTCCATATACGATGAGTCAATATACGATGAGTCGATATACGATGAGTCGATATACGATGAGTCAATATACGATGAGTCCATATACGATGAGTCAATATACGATGAGTGAATATACGATGAGTCAATATACGATGAGTCCATATACGATGAGTCAATATACGATGAGTCGATATACGATGAGTCGATATACGATGAGTCGATATACGATGAGTCGATATACGATGAGTCGATATACGATGAGTCCATATACGATGAGTCCATATACGATGAGTCGATATACGATGAGTCCATATACGATGAGTCCATATACGATGAGTCCATATACGATGAGTCGATATACGATGAGTCCATATACGATGAGTCCATATACGATGAGTCCATATACGATGAGTCCATATACGATGAGTCAATATACGATGAGTCAATATACGATGAGTCCATATACGATGAGTCAATATACGATGAGTCAATATACGATGAGTCAATATACGATGAGTCCATATACGATGAGTCAATATACGATGAGTCAATATACGAGTCACAGGAACATCTTCATGAAGTCAAATCAAATTAATAAATATGTCCATAAAAACATGAATCTGTCTTTAAAAGAGAAGCTAGTGATTAATCGTCTGTCGAGCAGGGACGACTTTTAGAAATACGATGTTCAGATCACTTTTATTTCCCTTTTTCTGCTTTTTATTTGAGTCGTAACGACTTAAAGAATATTAAAAAACAAACTGGAATAAGATCTCACTGTGTGTCTTGTTTTTCTGCAGTTTTTAACCGTCAGCTCTCCGGACAGTCAGACTTATGTAACACAATCTGTGGGCGTCTTAATCAGCGAAACAAAAAACAGTCAAATTACTCACACGCGGAAAAACACTATAAAACAGAAATAGAGCTTATTCACTAAAGAGGAGGAAGTTTGTGTTTTATGGAGTGTTAATGAGCTGCTTTTATTGAGTGTCTCTCAGGAAATAATCCTAATAAAGGAGCGGCTGAAGCTGTTTAAGGAGAGGGACTTTGTATGGAGGCCTGTTGGTGCCAAAAACACACAAAAAGAGAAACTGTGGCAAATGGAAATTACTCTTAGAGATAAAACATTAAATAATCAATTTTGGTAGGGGGGAGGGGAGGGGGAGAGGGGGGCGTTCAGGCCGGTCGTTCACCAACGATTCCGAGGGAACTACGAGACATGAGAGCTCAGGAGCTCCGAGGGAAAGCTGTCGTTAGCGCCCGACGGGGACGTGTACGGAAAATAAAAGTTCAGTCATTTTTGCCACAAAGGAGCCACAGGGCGGATTCAAGCCCAGGCGTCCCGCTGGGAGGATTATAGCCTCCGTACATGGGGCGTGCGCACTAACCACTAGGCCCCTGAGGTGGCTGTGGCTCGGTTGGTAGAGTCGGTCATGTCTCAAAATGGAAGGTCGGAGGTTCGATCCCCACATGTCTTATAAGAGAAACAACCAACATAAAAATTTTTATTTTCCTATATCTGAGGCTCAGGTGAATGAATCTAACGCTCCTCACCCCCCCCCCCCCCCCGCCCTTTGCTCCCTCCCCCCCACCGCTCCTCCTCCTCCCTCCTCTATGAACGTCAGCAACAGTTCTTGGAAGTGAATATTTGTTTTTCCTCTCCAGCTGCTCCTGCAGAGGTCAGGAGCAGGTGTGTGTGTGTGTGTGTGATTTCATTTTTGCGAGGACCAGAAAGATTTAAGACCCTGAAGCGAGGACATGTTTGCTGGTCTAGACTTTGGTGCTGAACTTTTAAAGACTGTCACTGACAGACAGCCAGACACGTGCCTGTGTGTGTGTGTGTGTGTGTGTGTGTGTGTGTGTAACATGACTACATTTCTTTGAGTCGCTCACTCGTAGTTCCTGATGTTTCCCACAGAGCTCAGCGTGCATCTCACTTCATAAACATGAACTGTGTACTATTCTTACGTTTTCTTGAGTTTATTTATTGCTGCTCTGCTGCCTCACAGAGGGACATGTTTTCATTTTAAACTACAGAAGATGTTCACTGAACTGAAAGAACAGACATGTCTGCCTGGTCACATCGCTGGTTTAGTCGTTTCGGCACAACACTGTAAATATGAAAACTAAGGACATATGTACAGATCAAAAATCATTTCATGCCTGAGTTATTTGTAACGTGTCGTTTATCTAGAAGCCAAAGATCCTCGTTCACACAGTTCAGATCTGCTATTCTCCCTCTGAAGTCGGTCCATTCAAAAGTCTTCCAGTAGAAAACAGACTCTGTGAGATGTGTGAGTTGGAGTCCCATTTTCTTTTGCATTGTACAAAATCTGATGATTTAAGAGAATTATTATTTCATGAAGTAAAATCAGATGTGCAGAAACTGGAATGGCTGTTTCAGTTTGATGTGTTTAAACTTTAGTTTGAAAAGCTTGGAGAAGAAGACAGGATATTCTGTTTGATTAGTTTGACTTCTTGCTTTCTCTTTTTGTTTCTTGAGAATGAATATAGTTTACCTAGAGCACTCTGATCCGGGAACCTTTTTAATTTATGGAGTCATGTAAGAACATGTAGGCTGGGCATATGGATGGATGACACAATAATAAAATAAAAAACTAAAACTAAAAAAAACTATGAAGCCTGAGTGACGTCACCCATCTGTTACTTCTAATGCTGAGCAATTTGGGTTAAATGTCTTGCCAAAGGACACATCTGACGAGTGGCTGCAGGAGCTGGGGATCGAACCCCCGACCTTCCAGAGATGACCGACTGTACCAACTGATCCACAGCCGCCACAGACCAGACATCAGGTTGGAAATCTGCAGATCATGAGCTGGTAAGAAAATAAAGAAACTAAAAACAACACTTAGTTCGACTTTCTCTGAACCTTTTTTGTTGAATTTGTGAAATATAAAATCCCACTCAGAGTTTCAGAAACGTTACAGGTTCGTGCAGTTCAGCAGTGATTTTAAAGTTTGGACAGACGGAGGAAATGTTTGAGGTTGTGTCGGAGACTCCACCTCAGGAGCAGGATGAGGATGTTTGTGCTTCTCCTCCTCCTCTCCGCCTGTCAGTTTGTTTTTCATTATCTCCTGAACACTTGGTAACCCCTGCTGTTCCCATCTCCTTATCTGCAGCTCTGTCACACGGCCATGTGGGAATGCAAATATGCCAGATTATGCCTCAGATTAATTTGCTATATTTAGACACGAGAGCAGCAGATTACTGCAGCACTGAACACTACAACTCAGCGCTGTGCAGAAACGACCAAACCTTTAATCTCAGTTCATATTTTCACACCTCTCCAACATCTGGTTAGAAATCATCTCAAACTTCTTTAAGAGAGGATTTTAGAAACACAACTTCTGCAGCTGATTCAAGCTGTCGCCCTCGTAACATAAACCAGAGTGACCCACACAGTTGTGTGTGTGTGTGTGTGTGTGTGTGTGTGTGTGTGTGTGTGTGTGTGTGTGACATTATTAGCCGATGTAAATATAAACAGAGTTGAAACTTCATGTGTGTGTGGAAAAGAGTGTTGCCGCCCACTGGCCTACTTCTGTAGGGAACACTATGTTCCTACAGCACTGATGTCATGAAGGGACACACACACACACACACACACACACACACACACACACACACACACACACACACACACACACACACACACACACACACACACACACACACACACACACACACACACACACACACACACACACACACACACACACACACACACACACACACACACACACACACACACACACACACACACACACACACACACACTTTGAACTCTGTTGTCTGCATGGTGTTTTCTCTGACTGACAACATAGATCGTAAACAAAAGCTTGAACATGCAATGTTGAAATGTTAAATAAGTTTGTCTGTGTTTATGGTTAAGGTTTACAGACCCATGCAGAGCTGGATAAACAGAGTCCACCACATGGTGACCTGAGTGAGGGGGGGGGGGACAGCTCTCTATGATGTTTAGAATTTAGACTGCAGTACCCATTTTAAACACGAGGGGGCAGAATTACATACTGCTCCTTTAAGTTCCCATACCATTTTTTCCTGGAATAAATGAGTCATACTGTTTGAATAATCAAAGTTGTTGAGCCTCACGCTGCAGTATAAGAACTTTTTCTACACTAAATAAGAAATACTTTCTAATCAAACACAAAGTGACAACAACATGTTCAAGTAAACTTCTAGAGGTAGGAGTGTTTTGTTTCCAAGAGTTGAAATGTTGAAATGTTGTTGAAGTAGGAAATAAAATCTTCTTAAATTGCTGCTGAGCTGCAGTTGGTTAACTTCTTGTTTCCTTGTGCTTTAACCACATTCATGTGACGTGATGAAAACAGTGTGATGACAGCATGATACCATAAAGTCATGCTTAACACTGAGAGTGCTAGCTAAAAGTAGCCACCACAAGCTAATGATCACATTGTTAATTTATTTTTATATTTACGGATTATAAGTTTGTTTATTACAAATATTTAAACCCACTTAAAACAGGAACTCTCTTTTTAATACTTTGAACAGACTGCTTTTGGTACTTGATAGTTTTCAGTACACCGTGGTAAGACTGTCGTACTTTTGGTGTTTCAAAACATTACAAGGATATTAAAATAATTAAACAGCATCTTAAAGTACCGAAGCTTTAAGAGGGGAAATTACTTTTACACATATGATGCTATAGACATGAACTAATAGAGAGATGTCAGAGTGAGGGGGCTGCACATGAAAGAGCCGTTGGGGGTTTAGGTACCTTGCTCAAGTGCACCTCGACAGTGCTCAGGAAGTGACCTGGCATCAGACACATTTCCAGACTTGAATCGGAGTGAGCTACTGCCCCCCCCCCCCCCCCCCCCCCCCCCCCAAAAAAACATCTTGATTTGATCCATCAAAAATTGCAAGACGACTCCCACACACTGTCTAAATAGTATGGATGGCTTAAACTTTGGGGGGCTCTGAGGGGGGGTACTTTGACCTGGTTCAGGTCCTTTTTGTAAGGTTGTCAAACTGTTTGATGCTTTGATATTTTTCAAGTGTTTTCAAAAGATACCATCTCTGTTTTATTGATTATTGATGGTATTGTTAACCAAATACTGTTGGAGAGAAAGAGAGAGAACACGGTCTAAATTGTGCAGGAGACCGTGTGCACGAGTTCAGCTGCAATTTTTGAAGACAAGGAATCACTGAAAATCGGATGACCTGGACTTCTACTTTTGTTGCTGTGGTATCCAAACAGGTATTAATAATTGATTTTTACTAAAATTGTATCAAAGTTCAAAACTTTAGCATCGTGTCCATACCTAAATCTGATTATCTAAGGCTTTTAAAAGTGCCTTAACTTTTTATATTTTCCATGTTTAACTGATAAGCCTTTTTTTGTCCAAACATGGACAATACATTGGGTTCAAAACTACTGGAGTCATTCTGTAACTTCAAACTGTTTGTCAAGTTTCTTTTTTTTTTTTACACCCTGTTGATTGACTTTTCCAAACAAAAACCATTTCCCCAGCAGCCCTGAACGTCTCCTGCCTGCCTGAATGCAGCCTGTTTTCTCTGCTCAGCCATCACTGCTAATCACACAAGGGGACAAAGACGCTGACAGACTCGTCCTCCTACTGCAGCTACAACTCATCATGAACCAGATGAATGGCTCCTCTTATTGTTTTCAGAGAGCGAAGCCGAGAGGAAATCTTTCTGCTCAAGCTCACGCTCTGGTAGCCGTTTTTACTGAGGAGTGAGAGATGGTAACAGAAAAGCATGCAAGCTTTTTGTGGGACATTTCTATTTAGTTAACATTTCTTTTGTGTTCAAGAAAGCGCTCAACAATCTCTCAAACCACAGCTAAAACGATCTGTCAATCCATGAATTTGTTGATTGGACAATTTGCTGAAAAATACTAGAAAAATGCAGCTTTCTGGTAGTTTTCTTATTATGACTAGGTATTCTAATATTTCAGAAAAGCATGCAAGCTTTTTGTGGGAAACTATAATGTTTTATTTTTTACAACTCCTTGATATCTTTTAGACCAAATGTTTTAATACACCTCAGTCAACATTATTTCTGTGTAAAAGTTTTGTCCTTTTTTGGGAGCCCAATCTACTTTTCACAGTAAATAACATAATTCTGATTGAAGATACAGTTGTCATTAATTCTAAACGGGTTTACTGACATTTATTTATTAAATTAAGGGAAATGCACCTCAATTTATCTCTTGGGTTCCACGATGATCTGTTCTTGGTCCACTGATTTCACCATTAAAAACAAATTTCACCGATATGCCGATGATACTCTGATTTACCCACATCATAAACCAAAAACCCAAGCTAATTTCGAGGCTCTTCTGAGCTAACTTTTAGTTCTCTTGAAACTGCAAACAGCTTACTGTATGGTTCTAATATTTGCATGGATCTTTTCGTTTAAAAACTTGAAGCTTTAAATGGCTAAAAGAAGGCAAATCAAGAAGCAACTCTTTCCTACAACAGAATCAGATATATAGGAAAACAGGTGAAGTTGACCTTTTAAGAATAAAGTCAGCTGGTAGTGAATGAGCTCAAACTGGACTTTGTGTTACCTGCTCTTGCCGGGCTGCTGTGCAGGCAGTTCGGAGAGATGATGCTCGTGTGTACAGAGGTGGAGGCATGGTTGCTGAGGTCCATCACTGATGGCACCGGCTTGGATTGGGGAATGTTTGTTGGGTGGCGTGATGGAGCGTGTGGTTGATGCTGGTTGTGGTGGTGCTGGGAGGGACTGGAGGGGATGCCGTTTTCGGACAGGAACTCTTCCAGGTCCATGTACTCCAGCTGGAAGGTGTCTCCATCGTAGGTCAGCGTTTTGTCCCAAAGCGTGGGACCCAGGAAGGCTGACTGGGGGGCGCTACGTTCCTCATCCAGGTTCTTCTCCTTCTCCTGCTCCTTGCTGAAACCTAGAGGAAAGCAGAGGGAATAACTCGGTCAGTATAATCCCTAAAACATGAACTCTTCAGGACATTAGCACACTGAATTGGCAAACGTTTTTTGGAGAATTTCTTAAAAAATGTAAGTACTGGGAATATCATATATTTGGAAAAAAGCACCAGTGACATCAACAGCGCCTTTGTTAAAAGTTGAAAGGGCCGCCCCCCCAATATAATGGTAGGGGAAACACTGAATACTAAGATCTAGGGTCTAAATTGTACAAAAATGTTTGTTTTCCTGCAATTTTTGTTAATAAAAACAAGAAATTACCAAATATTGGGACTTCTATCTATTTTTGTTTCCATGTTAGAAAGAGAGGTATCGATATTCTTTTATTTATAGTTCAGTCTTTTCAAAGTTTAAAACTCAAGTATCGTGACAATCCTACTTTTAACAATATAAAACTGTTACACTAGCGCTCAGTTTGCCTAGCTAATGGTAATTTGAACTAAGATGAATGCTAATGTTAGCTATTGTCTGACCTGGCCTCCAGAGAGGCAGCAGAGTTATGCCCGGTGACACCTGGTGGTAAAAACTGGTAATACAGTCTGGTTTTGGTTTGATAACAAACCGGTTTAAAAAAATGTTGACACCAGCCTAACCCCAGATATTGTACGATGAAACACTTCAAATGAAAAGGAAACTCCGTGTGAAGTCAGAAGGGAGTGTTCAGGGGACTATTTTTAACCTCGAAACCCCGTGACTAAGCAAGTCCAGATTTTGGTTTAGTGGCATTAAGCGCTCCGACACAAAACTGTAAACAAGTCCACAAAGACAAAGAATTACTCAACAAAGGTGTGACCTGAGATTTACAAAGACAAATACAGATTTGCTAATTTCTCTGATCACAACAGGACTTTCCTGGCTGTTTTATTTACTTTTTCGTGTCCTTGACGACATCTCTGGAGCTTTATCAGCTCTTTGACACCTGACCTCGACATGTACAGATGGATCGCTCTCACAGGAGTCAATAAGAGCCGGGATAGAAATGTTTTTGTGACAGCCAACAATGCTTACAAGACAGATTCCTGCTCGTACATTCAGGTTCAGAATGACCTAAAACAGTTTTAACAAAATAAAAGTTGAACACAAAACATGTTAATAAAGTTTCTCATTTCTGATTTCTAATTTCAGACGTTGGCTTTATAACATTAGAGGCTCAAACACTTGAGGAAGCTGAATTTTTGAACACCTTTAGATTAGCTGAGTTTTGTTCTGACTAAGTGCAGAGCAGTGGTTACAGAACAGGGGATGTAGACATGTTAGGAGGGCAGAGAAAGTCCAAACTAAAGAGATAATAAAGGAATACAAACATTTTATAATACAGAAGATCCACATTTAACACATTTCAATTAAATTTGACTTTCCTTTTTTGATAAATTGTGGTGATTTTCGCCTATTTACCCTCCAAGTCTTTCAATTAAAACAGCTAGAGATATTAAAAACTGTTTTTCTCTTGTTAAAAGGAGGTCACATGTCAACACTATTTTGATTTAAGGGGTTTGGAACCAGTGTCAGATGATTTTTTTAAACCTTGACCTGAGTTCAAACCACATTTAAAACCTCAACTTCAAACTAAAAACACTGATTACACTGTTTTTGAGAGAGTTTGAACTGTTTGTGACAACACTAAAGCCTTCTTCTCTTTGGGACGTTTGAGGAGTTTACGTTGAATGACGACACACAAGATGGTTTCAAAGGACGATTCAGTCCTGTGGTTCTCAACTGGTCCAGCCTCAGGACCCTCTACCAACACCTCTATGAAAAATGTAATCATGACTCAAATTTGGGACGACTCTAAACCAATCAGATTCATCCAAAGAAACAGAACCCCTTCTTAGACTTTTGACACTTTTTTCCAGGCACACATTTGTGACCCACTTAAAACAGCTCCACGACCCACTTTTGGGTCCCAACCCACCTGTTGAGAACCACTGATTTAGACCAAGAATTGAATGAATTTAAAAAAGTAGAGAGATTTTAAACATTTAAGAGCTAAACAATAAATAGATTTTTAAGTAAAGTGTAAAAAGTAAAATGTTTTTTTTCTAACTCAGAATTTTGACCTGCTTCCAAGAAGAGAGTCTTAGGAGGGAGGGGTTTAGCAGGAGGGGGGGAAACGCATTTTTAAGAGTCCTGCAGCTCTGCAGTGTCTGCACATTTAACCGATATTAAACATTAAAATATTCATATTATAATGTGAATGTTACCTGCAAAGCTATTAGATTAGTGGCTGTAATGTATACACTGAGTCATTTGATTTCCCATTTCATATGTGATATGTCTTGTCGATTTAATTATCAGGATGTAAACGTCTTTCCTGGTGTACAAACGTTCAGCCTGAGTCGGAGCCACATGTCAACAGGTGAGCTGTCACTTCAGCCTCCACAACAGGTTTAATGTGAGGCGTCCTGACCTGTTGAAGGTGCACAGAAACGGCTCTGAGGCTGCGTGGCTCACATTCCTCGACTAATCACATCTAATGAACACTGTCACGTCATAAAAAAATGAACCTGCAGCAATGAACTCGTAAAGTGAGACAGGAAAAACTGCGCCACAGCCACAGTGTAACTTCACCTTCATGGTGCAGCGGCAGCTTCATCGGGTTCTCCAGCAGAGACTTCAGGACTCCGTGCGTGGACTGGGGGAGAAAACTCGGGTTCATGGGGACGGGATGTCGGGACATTTTCTCCATCACGCCTCCTTGCATCTGGAGCCGCAGATCCACCGAACCGAGAGAGCGACACAGGAGCCACAAATAAGGAAAAATAAATATATGGAAGGAGAAAAGTGTGAATCAGCCGCTGTGGTGACGCTTCCTCGGATCCGGAGCCCACATGAAAGACTGCAGGAACTAAAGCCCTCAGAATAAACCCGGGGGTGAGAATAAAAACAACAGCGAGCGCCGGACGTCTTGTGTGCCTGTGCGGGCTTCAGGAGGCGGACAGACCGATCACCGATCTCATGTGTGAAAACAGAGGACTGCTGACGTCAAACCGCGGGCCGAACACCCTCCCTCTTTACAGCCACACCCCCCTCTTTCTCTCTCCTTCTCTCTCCCTCTCTCACCCTGTTTGTTCACCATCAGAAACATGAAACACTGAACATAAACTCAAACCTTACTCTTAAAGTGACCCAGTTATAAAGCCTCTAACCTGCAGCAGACAGGTGTTCTCCTTTATAACCATCAGAGCAGCCACTTTAAGATTACAAGTCAAAGTTTCTTTAACGTATCCCAACAAATAAAAATATAAGAAACATGAATAATCCAAGTTTTATAGAAATTTTAGGGTCGTTAATATACTTTGCTCATTACTTTCTGTAGGCCCTTTACATTTATTCCAACAAGTGGCAAGCTAAAAAATAATTGAGGCAACCCTAAACTGCAGTTCCTCCAGTGTCCACTAGAGTCTGTCTCCTGCAGTGAGTCAGTCCCCATAGAGCTCCATGTTAAAATGTCCAACTTTACAGCTGCAGTTCCTCCAGTGTCCACTAGAGTCTGTCTCCTGCAGTGAGTCAGTCCTCATAGAGCTCCATGTTAAAATGTCTAACTTTACAGCTGCAGTTCCTCCAGTGTCCACTAGAGTCTGTCTCCTGCAGTGAGTCAGTCCCCATAGAGCCCCATGTTAAAATGTCTAACTTTACAGCTGCAGTTCCTCCAGTGTCCACTAGAGTCTGTCTCCTGCAGTGAGTCAGTCCCCATAGAGCTCCATGTTAAAATGTCCAACTTTACAGCTGCAGTTCCTCCAGTGTCCACTAGAGTCTGTCTCCTGCAGTGAGTCAGTCCTCATAGAGCTCTATGTTAAAATGTCCAACTTTACAGCTGCAGTTCCTCCAGTGTCCACTAGAGTCTGTCTCCTGCAGTGAGTCAGTCCTCATAGAGCCCCATGTTAAAATAAACATGTTTACAGCCTGGTACAAAAACAGTTTTGGTTTTTATAGCTTGTTCCTCTATTTATGACAACTTGACGTCTTTAATCAATGCGTATTGACTGAATGTGTCAATACGCCCTTGTATGCAGACGACACTGTGGTTTAAACAGACCCCCGTGCATGTCCTCGATGAACCCTGTCCAAAATAAAACATCAAAAGATTAACAGAAGACAACTCCCAGAGACGATTAACCTATTACAATTCTGCAAACCTGCTTGTCATGTTTCATGTTAATCCTTTTTTAATTGTCCTTCACATATCTTCTGCACAGCTCTGTTTCAGCGAGTAAGTTATAAACACTCACGTTCACATGAAGGAGTCAAGCGCAAGTGGTGGACAAACTTATCCTCAGCTTTAGCTGCGATCACCTGTGTCCTGCATTGTTGTGTTAGCGTGCTAATGTTAGCGCTATTTAGTTAGCTTGTAGCTTCACATTGTTGTGTTAGCATGCTAATGTTAGCGCTCTTTAGTTAGCTCATAGCTTCACATTGTTGTGTTAGCATGCTAATGTTAGCTCTCTTTAGTTAGCTTGTAGCTTCACATTGTTGTGTTAGCATGCTAATGTTAGCGCTCTTTAGTTAGCTTGTAGCTTCACATTGTTGTGTTAGCATGCTAATGTTAGCGCTCTTTAGTTAGCTCGTAGCTTCACATTGTTGTGTTAGCATGCTAATGTTAGCGCTCTTTAGTTAGCTCGTAGCTTCACATTTCATGTAAACTGACACAGAATGAGCGTGATCTAAAAACTCTTACTAACATCCAAATAATCAGTGAGTATGTTCTTCTTCTTCTCTCTAGTTCTTGACTAAAACAGCTTTTATACACAAGGGGAGGAGCCGGCCGTCCCGTCCATGTAAACACGGCTCTGACAACAACACAGCCAGCGGGACTCGAGCTTCTCCCTCATTGTAGACAGTCAGGACTCAGAGACACATTTACACAGGACAGACTTTATGATTTATTGATGTGGAACATGTCACACATTCTTCCTTTAAAGCCGTTGATCCAGTTCAGGTCTTGGTCTCAGTTGGAAAGTGTTTTTATTTTATCTCCAAGTTTGTCGAAGGATGTTATTTTGTTTGAACAATCGATAACATTCTTTAAAAAGTGTATTGATTTTTTTTAAATACTCTAACAAGAAGAAAAACACTGTCAGCGGGACTCGAGCTTCTCCCTCATTGTAGACAGTCAGGACTCAGAGACACATTTACACATATTCATTAAGAGTGTAGGATTATTTATTATTATTTATTTATTCATTAAGAGTGTAGGATTATTTATTATTATTTATTTATTCATTAAGAGTGTAGGATTATTTATTGAACAGTTTGGTGATTGGACTCCGTCATGATGACTTCAGGTAGGAATGGTGAGGACGACAGCAGTTTCCTCGTTATCGTAACAACGTGCTGACTCATTATCACTGTAAGATTTAACATTATGATGATAATCCTGCATGAAGAAATGTTTATTATTCACAATAAATTCATAATTTTATTAGTTTCCAAACTTGTTTGTCTTACTTGTGATAACTTCTAGAGAACAGACCGTGAAGAGACGTGCAGACATTTTGTTTTCTGCTCTCTAGGAAGTTCGAGATATTTTATCATTCATGTCCTAATTGGATCTGCTGAGTAACACGCACACACACACACACACACACACACACACACACGCACACACACACACACACACACACACACACACACAGGCTTGAGAGAGGAATGCTGGCTCACAGGAGTGGGCGGAGTTGACCTACTTTCATCCAATCAGAGGCTGTCATCTCTTGTACTCCTCCCCCTGCTCCCCCGCCTCCTGCAGCCAGGACACATTAAACCCTCGTGTGCTCGAGAGGAGAGGAAAAACAAACCCAGAAAGAGAGGAGGAGAGGAGGAGAGGAAAGGGAGGGAGGTAGGAAAAGAAAGAGGAAAGGGAGGGAGGGAGGAGACAAAAGGAAAGAAAGAGGTAAAGGGGAAAGAAGAGGAGGGGGCGAGAAAAGAGGAGAGGAAAGAAGGAGAGAAAATTAGAAAGAAGGAAATAGGGAGGAGAGGAAGAATGAGGAGGGGGGAAAGAACAGGAAAGGAAGGAGGAAAAAGAAGGGATAGGGAGGAAAGAAGCAGAAAGGAGAGATAAAAGGAGGAGAGAAGATGAGAATAAATTAGAGGAGAGGAAAGGAAGTCAGGGAAGAAAAGAGGAGAGAGGAGGAGACAATATGAGGTAGGAGGAAAGGAAAATGAAAGGAAAGAAGATTAGGAGGGGAGGAGGAAAGAACTGAGAGGAAAAGAATGGAAACGAGGAGAGGGAAAGAAAGAAGACGAGGAGAAGACAAAAGGAGAAGATGAAATAAGAGGAGATGGGTAGGAAAGAAAAGCAGAGAGGAAAGTCAGAAGAGGAGAGGAGTTAAGGCATCAAGCTAGGAAAGGAAACAAGAAGACGTATTTAGAAAGTCAGCGTGAACTCTCAGTTTGTAGTATTTTCACTTTATTTTGTGTTCTTCAGTGATTTTCTCTCGTTGGCTGGTGAGGTGAACTTTCCCTCGGCCTCCTGCAGCAGCTCGACACAAGGAGAGCGTCCGCCTCGCTCTCATTACCACCTCCTTAGCAACAGCGGTTGCTAAAGCACGGCGATGTTGTGACGACCTTTGAGACACAGAAAAGTAGGACAGGGCTTCAACACACCAGAGCCGTGATGAGGACACACACACACACACACGCACACGCACACACACACACACACACACACACACTTCACCTGAAGTGGTTCTTACTGACAACCTGCTTCATGAGTTATTAGATTAAAATGTCATTTTGACTTTTTGTTTTTAGACATTAAATCAGCTTACTTCACTTCTTATTATTTGAAAGTTTTACAGTTTAGCTCACTGCTAAACGTAGAGAAGAATTTATCAGCCACCTGGTGGAGACCAAACACATAGCTGGAAGAGGATGACTGCAGGGAGGGAGGGAGACTCAGGATTGGGGTTCAGTCTCAAGCATGACGAGATGATCACCGCCCGCCCGAATTCGCCCGAATTCCTGGAATTAGACAATTTAAATGAAGGGATGAGGAAAGGAGGGAGGATGGATGAGAGGAAGGGAAGGAGGGCGGGTTGAAGAACTGAGACAAACAGGGTGGAGTGGGACGGCTTGTCAGGTGATCGAAGGTGTGGTTCAGGTGTGGTCCTGTGTGTCCACTGGATGTGAGCATTAAATATGAGGTCACTTTGTGTCTTTATTATGAAATAAAGACACAAACCTGAGCTGGTGGCGGGTTTAGTGCCTTGCTCAAGGGCACCTCGGCAGTACTCAGGAAGTGAACTGGAACCTCTCCAGCTACCAGTCTAACTTCCAGATATGATCCGCATGGGAGACTTGAAACGGCGACCCTCCTGTTCCCAACCCAAATCCCTACAGACTGAGTTACTGCAGCCCTGTGTGTGCACACAAACTTCAGGCCACCCCTGCACAAGTCTCTGCCCACCCAAGGGGCAACCTCCGGTCTCGAAAAATGAAGCCTATGCGGAAGTACAAAAAACTGCAGTTCCTCGAGGTTCCACTTGAGGCTGGCTGCAGAAGCGCCGGAAGTGCCATAAGCCCACAGCCAAAAAAGCCCGTTTTCACCACAGGAATCAACATGTTTACAGCCTGGTTCAAAAAACGAGATACATCTGAGAAGTTGACGGCCCCTTCTCCTCACACTGTGGGAGGAGTTTTATAACTCATCGGATTTTATTCTATTAAGGAAAACGACTATGCCCATATTTGGTTGTGTCAGATTTGATTGACAGCTCTGCGCGGTCAGCAGGTCAGGAGGTCAGCAGGTCAGGAGGTCAGGAGGTCAGCAGGTCAGGAGGTCAGCAGGTCAGGAGGCTAACAGCTTGATCCGTCTGATTTCTCCTCTTTCTTACTTCGTTTGGAGAGTTTGTTTAACACATATCTGACAACATACATGGCTTGCTGTGCGGTTAACAGACCATCCAACAAGTTGATGCTTCAGTTTTCTTCGGTAAGTGATATAGTAGTGTTATATTTACTGCTTACT